ACCGCCGACGTGTTGATCGGCGGTTTGGCGAAGGGTCCAGCGGTTGCACGAAACAGCTTTGTTACATATCGACGGGAGGTTCGGCGAAGCGATTGGACTAGAGACCCAGCCCGACTTTCTTGGCATTTTCCAATGCGGAGTCTGCAAAATCGATATCTTTTGCCAAATCGCTGAAACCACGGCGGTTTGTCGAACGCGGTTCCTGGCGATCTCCGCCAAATAATTTTTTTGCTTTTTGCCGAAGCGCATTTCGTCAGGGTCTCAAAGGGGACAATGCCTCAGGCCATTGCGCAAAATGTGCTAAACGGTCACAGAGCATTTTTAAGCCAGAATGTAGAGAACATGCTTGAAAACTTTTCGATATTAGTCATCATCAACACTTTTCTGGCCCTCTCGCTCCTACCGACTTTCAGCTATGACACGCCATCACATCATATTGCTTGCAGTTCCGACATCAAAATAGGTAGTTCGGAGGATCTGTGTACTATGCGGTGCTTTGTTACTTGCGGAATAGACACAATGGCGAACATGAGAGTCGGACGACGATATGGATTTTTTGATCCCCATTGACATCACTACATCTACCTAAGAGCCTCAACATAGTTTACAGAATCTTTATGGTTCCACTGACATTGAAGGAAAGAGTGCACAGACAGAGCCTCTAATCAGTTGGGAATGTAGTGGTATCAAATATAGTGAAGACAATTCTAATTAATATGATTACCTTTCATCCGCCATCAGTGGTAAGGAATGAAGTGAAGGTAGTTTTCAGCTGTCAGTGTCCCTGTCACTAAATCTTTGTAATGTGGTGCTTCGAGAGCTCCCCTCCTCGAAAAACGACAACCACTGCAAAGTCTCTTGTCAACCCGTATGTGGCGTGTTGGCTCTTCGTCACCCACCGTTGATGTTTACAACTTCCCTCTGTAACACCTGCTGGAGCCAACGGCTTGGGGACACTGTAACCTACAGTAGACTACAATGAGCGCACCATTCTAACCATTCTAACACCCGTCATCGAATCTTATCAGCTGCTTATTCTTCTTGCCGTAAAACAATAATGTTCATGTCCCACCACCTACATCATAACTTGGAATTAATCCCTATTGTTGCTAGGACCTACTTCATATTCTTGGTGATCTTCTCCTTCTAAGCCTCCTGCCGAACTTTACAACTGATATCACCTCCTGTTACCAACCACCAGTGTTCCTGCCACCCGCTACTTCACTTCTTGAAGCAATATATAACAGCGTCTGGGACCACTATCACGTGACACACACAGGCGCGCACACAAAAAAAAACACTTACCGACGACATACCTACCTAGCGAATTACATTTATACCAGCTGGCCCGCTGGCTGGTATAAATGTAATTCGCTTGGTATGTCTGTCGGTAAGTGTCGGCATGCCTCCTTCTGCAACACGGTCCGGCTTCGACAAGGCGGGCCGGTTTTGCCCTTACCTTCTTGCACATGTTTACATCCCGAACTGACATGCTGCTTTTTTCTTTCTGAACAGATGACCAACGCTCCTTGACCAACCACACTTTTGCAACACTTACTATGCAGGGGAGACATTGATGAAGTGCAGAGATGACAGAAACCGGGTATCAATAGTGCATTCAAACGTACGACAGCAGGTAGAGTGGACGAAGCCACACAGCCCGGCAAAGCTGGGCCTTATCACAGAGAGGGGTGCGCCGGCGTCAGCCGCCAAGCCAACTGGTATCGAATGCATTTACGACGACCGGTGGTTAGTGATGGCTGCCGATGCACTGAAGCTCAGTAAAAGTAGGCAGCTCGTGCTTGAAGGTACGCACAGCCCACTGTGGACGGTGTCTACAGGGGGGGGGGGCAAAAAAGTCACCTTGACTAAGTCACATATCAGCAAAGTTTTCGCACCCCAGGCAGAGGATGTGTATACGAGTACCAGGTACCAGGAGTAGATACCAGGAATACCCAAGATGTTCCTCGATAAGCAGGAGCTGGCTCTCGCCCATCACCTTCATGTACACCAAAATATGAAGTCATCTCCAGTCGCAGCCTGACTGGAGAAGACCTTTGGAATTCATGTCACCTCCAAACTGCGAAACTTCTAGTGTGGAGTCACCCATGGGTAGCTACCTGGAGACCAGTACTCTCAATCTGGAAGACCTCCAACATCGAGCAGCTCCGTCAACGTCGCTACGGTCTAGGACATCATCTTCACCGTAGTCGCCGAGGCGCGAGTTGATGGTATGGACCGGGTACCTGGAATGGGAAGACCGATATTTTCTTTGTAGACCCGGACTGAAGGTGAGCGCTGGCGGTTACATCAAGCAACTCGAGAAGAATATCCTCCCTACATGTCGTCGCCCGTACCTTCTTGGAGACCTTGTACTGCTACAGGTTTGGGTGAAACCACGAAATCAAGGGTTTTGGAAAAACTCCCGCCTACTTCGAATGGAAGGGCGTTTCGTACCTGAAGAAGATGTAATATTGAAGTATGTCCCCTGACCTGAACCCACTCAATTACCTAGTTCGGGCGGAGTTCAATAGGGTGGTCTACGGTGGCGGAGAAATCGACTATCTCGCTGATCTCAGGCACCACATCGCGGTCGCGTGCCAGAATCTCTCGATGGCGCTCGTCCAGAAGGCTGTGGCGGAGTGTCATGATAGTATTTAATATGCTCTTCAATATGGTGGTAAAAATGTCCGATCAGAATTTGATAAAGTGTAACTTATAGCGCCTCGAAAGTCAATGAAGCAAAGTGACTTTTTTTTGCCCCCCCCCCCCTGTATACACCACAGACACACTCAACTTCCGTTGTGTAATTCTTTCTTCCTGTCGTTTTGTGATCCCTGAAGTCATGCTATTCTAAGATATAAAATGTAGCGGAACGCTGATCATCTTGAAGACATCTTCTTTTCCGTCCACTAACTCTTTGACTCCAGTCCAGAAGTTCACGAAGCATATGCTGCTCTGCAAGCGACTCGTGATTTTTGACTTTCATCGCTCTCCTCTCGAGATCTGCCACGCCCATTGCATGTATATCTCGCTGCTATGGCCGAGAACTTGCACACGTTTCTAGAGTGGTCAGGAGCGTTTTACGAAATTTCTTAGTTTGGGCTCCGCCCATCCCATGCACGCTCCGCCCACAGCTGTGTATCTCGCAGTTTTCAACGGGAAACTTGGGACCACAGTCCACTTTTCCGCGGCGTCTGTAGTGCTCTTACACTGAGGTCACGCTCCTCCCACTGTGGGCCGGTCTCAGTACACCTTAGATATGATGACGGACTCTCGCCTGATGTCCCGATATTTGTCTTCGCCATGAGTTTTTTTTTGCGATCTGTCAACTTTCTCGGGGATGTAGTTACCAACATTCGTACGAAGCGCCGCCCATCTCGAGTACCCCCGGCCCATTTAGAGGGGCCTCCTTCAGTTGGTGGTTCAACCCTTTGCTGACCTTAATCCACTTCTCACCCAACTCGCGAGTGCTCCAGAGCCGGATCATGATTTTCTCCCAATGAAACCGCTAACTTCCGACTCATGCCTCGCTCACTCGCGGGGCTTACCATGGTACGACTGCTCTTTACTTCTTGTCATGCCTTACCCATCCCCACCTTGATCCCACCCTGTCTAGCTGTTCTTCTGATAGAACCGAAAACACTTCCGTTTCACGTTTCCGGAAACAAATAAACAAACAAACAAACAAACAAACAAAGAGACAGGGAGGCAATTGATATACAGAGGGTGTAGTAGGATTCTCAAGGCAGAGATGAGACGGCATTATCCTAGTTACTAGCAAAGAGGAATTGGACTGACTGTTGGAAACTGTGGATAATTGATGAGAAGCTAAACCTAATAAAGCAAGCCATAAGACTCTGCTTGGAAATACTCAGCATTGCTCAGGCTATAGCGGAAGCAAATCCGTGCTTCATCGAAAAGCGCCAATCATAGTTTACCTCTCTAGCTGATGTACTAGGTTGTCCCAAAAAATCGTGGACATTTTTCGAATCTCGTATCAGATCCTTTCCGTAGCCATTTCGAGATCCAGTTATGTGGTCTATGGGAAATGTGTCAAGTAGGCATCCCACAGTTGCTTTACCGTCCCTACGCATACACAGCTCAGGGTCACACATTTGGAAAACGACACTGCTCGAGATCCCGAAGCTTAGCTGGGGAATTCCACCACAGTCTTCGTGTAGCCCTGACTTAGCTCTTTCCGATCGCCATCTAAACTAATCCCACAGCGGCCATCTTCTGGGTAAAAAATACGATTTTTGATAGTACCTCAAAAATGACCCAGCTGCCTTTCTGGGCACAGAACCAAGAGGCTTCTGGAAGCAAAGGCAACCAGTCAGTAGTTTGGCAACAAGTTGCCAATGAAGGTGACATATAGACAGTTGATCAAAATTGCTTCTCACTGGAATAAACTTAACTCGAAAAAAATGTGCGAAAGTGATACGAACTTTCAGGTCAACCTAATAAAAGGCATATTGAACAGAATTAGTGGTCCAAATGTCATGGAAGCTTCTGCAAGGTTTCTGTAGAATGTGTGTGTGTTGTATGTGTGTGTATGTGTGGTGTGTGTGAATCCCACACACCGAACACTTGATTCATTTGAACATGGAAGCTCACTCTGCTTATCGTTCACAAGTGTTGCTCCCCTCTGTCATACAGGTATAGTTAGGATTGCTACAACCATCATACATTCTTAAATGGTGTGCGTTTCGTCTCTCAGATTGCTGAAGGACTATGAGATGAGACTTACAGCGGTGGGCGGGGCTGCAAGCTTACGCCAAGAGCTAAAAATGCCTTAAATGCCTGGAGAGGGTAAACTCAGGAGCTTACCGGCTACCATATATAGTTTCGAACGTTTCCGTAGTACAGGCAGCTGATCACTCAGCATGTGTCCGAGCAAATCATCTGAACTAAAACTGTTTTTGTTCAGGAAGATCGAAGATTTCATTGATCAGCGAGCTGATATTATATTTTACGATCGATTCTATAACTGGGAAGTTATGGCTGGCTCTTATTTAGCTAAAAACACGAATTGGACAAGAAATTTTCTAAGAGGTAGAAATTTTTCTGCAATGCCGTACACAGTCCCATCTACTCACGATATTCATTGCAAAACTCAAAAGATTGAACAAAGGCCTTTGACTCATGGGACTTCCATAAAATTATAGTGTTATATCATTGAGAACACCTTCATCTTGTGCTAGTCTTTTTGAAGTTCTTTTCTGTAGAAAGTGTGCAGGATTTTGCAGGTTTTGCCAATTATGAGTTCCGGTTACCGAACAGTCATCATGGAACTGACAATGGAGCCATTCATGTGGGTTAGCTACCACTTGAGAAATTACTCCAACAGTCTTCTTTTCGTACAAAGGTCAAGTGCACCACAACGCTAGCAGTATAGCAGCTCCGAATAAAACGTTACTTTGCTTTCATGTACCATCCGGGCGATTTTCTGGAGGGGAAGGGGGAGGGGTAGGCGTGCAGGTTCACCAAAAAAACTGAGTGTGCTGAGCATTCACAGAGACAGTCGACAATATTCTCACCTAGGTAAGATTTCACTCTCTCACAAGGCTCTCCAAGGAAATGAAGAATACAGCGTCTTCATAACGTAGTGAGAGTGACCTCAATCGCAGCGGGACGGTCCAAGGTGATAGTGAGAGTGTAGAAAGCACTCCAACCCATTCTCTCATAGAGTGGTTTTCGTTACACCATTCTAAACGAAGCCTCACTGGATGGCTCCGTTTTATGATGCAGTGCCTGACCCAGTCACAGTTGTTTGGATCTCGCGGATTTGATCCCTAATTCTGGGTATGAAGTTGGTTAGCGTTACGGCAGGATACAGAATGCATTTTGTTAACGGGCAGTTCTGCGACGCGCTCCATAACGGAGGCTAAAGCGCGATTCTGTTTCAGGACTAATCATTAGTTGGTAATTTTTGTCGAATTCTTCTGAAGTACGCGCTCCGTGGCTTTATACGACCGCCTCCCCCCCCCCTGTTGCCCCGTCGTAGTGCTGTCGGAGAGGAAGGGTGTGGTGGGAATTCAGCACATGTGAAACTAAAAAATCGCGAGGAAAATATAACTCTCCCGTCCCGATAAACCCGCCCTACCTACCGCTTTCTTAGATTTTCCAAATTTTCCCAAAAAATTGGCCGGCGGAGGAGGGTATACATATGGAACAGGAAAGACTACAACAAGTCTGCAATCTCCCTCTCTGGGATTCCGAAAGACTAGAAGGTGAGTACGACTACTACCCTCTACAGCGTCCTTGAGAAAGGACAAATCAATTTACGCAAAATCTCAGACAGAATACGACCACCTCCCCCACTCAGCGACCGAATACGACCCCGCTCCGTATTGGGAAATCCCCAGCGATGACCGAATACGACCCACTCCATGTAGAGAGATCTCCTTGCGAGGATTTGCCTGACCTGCTGTTAACACGCTGGTAGTATTTTGAGAGACCAGTCGAAGCGCCTGGCTGACCCCGAGCTCTCCTCTTTGACTTAAGCCCGGCTTCGCCTGGCTTTGCCAGGCGCACATCATAACGGGAATGGAATTTGTTAATTGTCTGAGCTGCTCATATTGCGCGGTAGTGGTCGAATCATAATAGACAGAGCAACCTAGCGGATTCTGCACTCCTCAATCCACCCTGATATTTGCGGGGGGGGAGGCGTGCTGGTTTCGGCCATAACGCCCATTCTACACGTAGATCGTAGAAATAAATAGGAAGTACAGTCGGCCATGAGCGCAATATCAATATGAGTTGCACAGTAGATGAACAAATTCCGTTTTTATTACCTGCACCACAACGCCAACGATGAGCGATCAGCTTACCATTAGTATGTGATCCACCTTCTAAGGTTGCGTGAATGACTGGCTGCGTTCGTTGAATATCTTACAGTCTACTTCATTATTTTCTCATCAGTGATGAAAAGTTGAAAAGCAAAAAAGAGTCAATAGTATTTGAACGCAAAAAGTGTGTTTCAATATTCAAGTTTTCAATTTTTCCAAACTTTTCCTGTTTATGGCAAAGTACATACCCCCCTCCTTCCCCTGCTCCTCGACTTTAATATTATACTTAGCGGGATACTGGGATGAGTTCATTTTCTAGTGCTATCGGAGAAGTGATAACTGGAGGAAAAGTTCGCTTGCAGAGAGGATTTACTTGGCAATGTTGGTGACAGATGCCGGGGGAATGTTCTCTCATATTTTACAAGAAGATAAAATTGCTTGTCACTCGTCATCAAAAAATAGTCAAATAGTATTTGAACGCATAAAGTGTGTTCGCTTACAGAAAGGCTTCACTAAAACTCTATAATTTCGTGGTGTAAAAGCTCCAGCATTGATTGAACAACAATTGCAACTTTATCTATCAGGCCCTATCAACTCTTACCACTTCCTGTCACCCCCGTCGCCGTCTCCACCTTCCCCTTGATATCATTTGTTGAAATCAGCGCGTAACTGATGCTGTGTTGCTGTGTCCAGCGTTATGAGTATGTTGACCTTTTCATTCTAACTCCCCCTCCTCCCCTTGACAAGTCTTATTCAGCAGCTAGTAGCCTTCTTCTTCTTCTTCTTCTTCCTCAGCGTTTGTCCCTCTCGATGACAGGGTCCGCTTTTTTGATATAACTACGCCATTTTGCCGATTGAATGCCTGATCGAGGTGAATTCCTGAGTACCTAGAATTGGAGAGCAGTTTTACGGACGGTGTCAGCCTTCGCGCGAAGTACGTGCCCGTACCATCGAAGGCGCGTTTCACGCAATTTCTCTGCTATGGGGGCTACACCATACTTCTTGCGCACGACATCGTTACAAATGCGGTCCGATCGCGTGACGCCCGCCGTCCAGCGCAACATCTTCATCTCCATCACACCAAGGCGAGCCTCAACTTCTTTGGTCGCGGGCCAGCACTCGGCACCATATAACGCGACAGGTCGGACGACAGTACGATAGATCTTTGACTTGAAACGCTCTGGCATTTTCTTGTCGCAAAGGATCCCAGACATGGATCGCCACTTAGACCACGCCGCACTCACTCGTGCGCTCACTTCCGAGTTCAGACTGGACGCAAGTGCTGATCCGAGATACTTGAATGTTTCCGTGCGCTTGAGCACCGTGTCATCGATCTTAATGGAGCCCGGCTCATTTGGGTCGGTTGTCAGGTACTCGGTTTTGTTGACGTTCAACCTGAGTCCAAACTTCGCCAGACGCTCGGCCCAAGCTTGCACCTGCTGTTCCAGTGCGCTCTTATCTTCACAAGCAAGCATCACGTCATCAGCGTAAAGCAGGGTCCATGGCACTTCCTTCTGAAGATCTCGTGAGATGGCATCCATGACGGCAACGAAAAGAAGTGGGGAGAGCGCAGAGCCTTGATGTACCCCGACGGTGATGGGGAACTCCACTGAGACACCCGCTGGTGAGCGAACTTGGCTCCCTGGGCATGAGTAAAGGATGCGCACCCACTCAATGAGCTCTTCGGGCACGCCGTGCCGCCTCAAAGCGTACCATATAACATCACGCGGCACCCGATCGAATGCCTTCTCCAGGTCTAAGAAGGCTACATGCACGGGCTTTCGCTTCTCACGGTGTTTCTCCAGCAATAGGCGAGCGGCATGTATGGCGTCGACGGTGCTACAACCCGCCACGAAGCCACACTGGTGGAAAGCTGGTGGTGCTTGGTGGAAAGCTGGACGATATAACGAAAACGGGCATCAGTAATTAGCTTGAAGACTTTCATAGTGTGCGAGAGAAGGCGAATGGGACGGTAGTTGCCGGGTTGCCCCTTCTTCTTCCAAATCGGTATCGTCATCTCGTCACGCTCTGCTGCCAGTCCTTAGGCACCTTCTTCTCTTCGACGATCTGGTTGAAGAGTTTCGTCAACCAACCCGCAGAAAACCAGCGTTGTGACTTCCACAAATCAGCTGCGATGTCGTCGGGGCCTGTTGCTTTGCCGGCCTTCATCTTCCTCAGAGCAGCTTCGGTTTCCTGTACGGTGATCTTCTGAACGGGGCCATATGTTGGTGCGGTACAGGGTATAGCGGGATGGGCGAATTCCACCGAGATGCCCTCGAAGTATTCACGCCATCGTTGCAATACCCTTTTTCGGTCCATCAGAAGGTGGCCATTCTCATCACTTATGCCAAAAAACTTCTCAATGTCTTCGGTTTGGCGATGACGAGATTTGGCAAGTCCAGGTACCGCTCACCGTCGCGCGTCTCCAGCTTCTTGCTGATATCATCGAAGTGAGCGGCCTTCACAGCAGCCACGGCCGTCTTTGCCGCCTTCCTCGCTTCCCGATACTGCCGCCAGTTGTCAGCCGACTTGTGCTCGAGAAACGCGTGATAGAGTCTTTTCTTTTCTCGAACCTTCGCTTTGACGTCGTCCGTCCAGAGCCATGCCTCTTTGTCAATCCTCCGCCGTCCAGGCTTCGTTGTGCCGAGTTCGGAGCGGGCGGCCTGGATTATAGAATTAACGGCTTCGTTCCAGGTCTCCTGAACAGTTGTGACTTCAGGTAGTCGAATACGAGAAATCACAGCTGCCTCCCGCTCTTTCAGTCGCCACCACTTTATTCTTTCAGGACCGCATCGTTCTGCCTGCCTCGATCTGGGAGCTACAAGTCTGAGCGTGCAGATCAGTGGGCGGTGCTGCGTGGCAACCGTTTCATACGGTACTACCTTAGCGTCTGTCACGAGTCCTTGGTCGCCATGTCTGATGAGCACAAAGTCTATTTGTGTCTTGGTACTCCCGCTGTAGAACGTGATGAGATGGGAGTCACGCTTTACGAAACCTTGTGTTCAGAATGACGAGATTATGCGACTCTGCAACTCAAGGACTCGCTCACCATCGGCGTTCCGTGAACCCGCTATGACAAGCATAGCCGTCTTTTGCAGTCCGTCAAATCGCCGGCTACAATGATACCGTCTTTTGGTGGCACTTCAGCCGTCTTCTCGTCCAGCAGAGCCCAGAACTCGTCCTTGGACTGCTCAGAGCATCCAGTTTGTGGGGCATATGCAGAGAAGAAGTGGTACAGTCGTTGTTCAATAGCGACAACAATCTTCATTAAACGGTCGTCGAAACGAACTACGCTCATAATCGAATCGCGAATCGCTGAGACACGATCACGGCCACACCACTTGTAGTTTTCGGCCCGCCACAAAGAACGGCTTTGAAGCCGCGGCCTAACTCTTTCGACTTGCAGCCAGCCCATCTCGTCTCTTGCACGGCACAGAGGTCGATCTTTCTACGCTCTAGGGCTTCTGCTAACTCATACGAGCGTCCAGTCAGCGTGCCAACATTCAGCGTCGCAATGCGAGCCTTTGACACATTGCAGGTCTTTCGGACTAGCCTGGTTGCCGTCCTTGCAGCGACCCTCGCATATTTTTCACACTCGTCGGGCCTTGCGAGTGCGCGTCGGCTCCCGCGGACGCCGTAGCATTATCTCGAAATTCATAAGGCATAGTTAAACATGATGATGTGACATGGGGTGTTCGTAAGCCGGCCCGTCACGAAGGCCTGTCGCCTGCTTTCGAGTTCGTCCGCGTTCTGCTCAGCCCGCAAAAGCGAGCAGGTCCCGGTGGCACCACTTGGAGGAACGGACGTCACCACCAGCAGCTAGCAGCTCTTGTCACCCACATATTCCTATGCCATTACCTACATCATACATCAGCTCGCGCAATGCTTCGAGTGTACCGAATATTTGTCTTACCAGTCGGATCGCCCGGCTAACGCCGAGCTCTCCTCCTTCTTGGAAGCCCGGCTTCGCCGGGCTCATGCAACTGCTTTAGAGTCGTGACTAATCGCTGTCTTCTAATCAAATGAATGTAGAAACGCGCCATATGATCGCAGGGCACTTTCATAATGAAAAGTTCAAAATCTGGTCATGGATAATCGATTACTCTCCTCCCCATCTCATGACAGCCATGGATGCTTCGGTCTCCGCAGTCGCTGCGTGCTCCTGTTCAGGCGAGCGTCGGTCGCGCCAATATGGTACCCCTTCACCCCATAACCTCAGCTATTCCCCGCTCAGCCACCCTACAGGTCACGCTCAGCTGCTACGCGAATAGCCCGTGCAATGGTTCTGAGTGCACTAAATGGTTGTGTTATGTTGTGGAGGGTGTTATGACTATCAAAACGCTACCACAATTTGATAATGCAACATTAATCGGTTCAGTTCCGATTGCGGTCGATCCATTTTCTTCCCATCTTGTCGCAACCGTAGACGCCTTACCGCCGCAGGCGCTATGTGCTCCTAATCGCGAAATCGCCGTTCTCATCTGGTATCCCCCACCACATCATATCCCAGTGACCCTATTTAACTGGCGCCCACTCCCGCACGTGGATGCAGCCGCCACGTGAGCAGCTGGTGCAACATAGGGACACTACGCCGCCACTGTTCTTACCACCGCCTTGCTCGTGCTCACGTCCAGCTCCCAAGCGAGCAGCTCCTGCAATAGCACAGAGTCTATCACAGTGGTTGGCTTAGATAGGGGAGCTATTCACAATCCAAACAGCTTCCTAGTTCGTTGCTGTAACATGGATTAGCTTGCAGTTTTGCTAGGGTTCTTTCCTTCTGTCTTGCCGCCTGCTCCTATCCAAGCGTACGCTACGCATCCCCTTACTGTTTGCCCGATTCAATCCATATGCCTCCTTCCCCTGCATGGGCTCAGATCCGACTGAGTACGCGCAAGGAAGTGAGGATGGGAGAAGGGGGTCACTCGATACTAACTCCCACCTTCCTCACCTCACCCCATTCCGTACTCGCCACTCCACCCCCCCCACGCCCCTCCCACCCCCCCCCCCTCCCCTTGCCTTGCACGCGCTTACGTCCAACTGCCACGCGAGCAACCCGTGCAATGGCTCGGAGTGTAGTGGTTTTCTATATAGTGGAGAGTGTTATCACAACCAAAACAACTTCTTAGTTCGTTACGGTAACATAGATTGGCTTGCAGTTTTGTTAGCGGTTGTTTCCTCATCCATTGGTGTGCGTTTCTACTGAAACGCGCGCTACGCACCCCTCACTGTACCCCCCTCCCCGCGACCCCTTCCCTCTGCCTCCCTCCAATACATGTGCTCAGCTCCGGCTGAGCACATGCAGGAGAAGGAGGCAGGGCGACCTGGCACCCCCACCCTGCCCCCGCACGAGCACACGTCCAGCTGCCACGGCAGCAGCTCGTGCAATGGCTCGGAGTGTACCGAGTGGTTGTCTTATATATGCTGTTATCACAATCAAAACATTGGATTGATACATCTGCACCGATGGGTTCCCGGTTTGGCTAGCGGTCGTTTTCTTCTTTCACTAACGTGTTTAATCCCGTAAAGCATTTTGCGGACGGACAGACATACAAACCGACATACATACATACATACATACATACCGACAAACCGACACACAAAGTTTCTGCTTTATAGAATGTAAGGATATAGCGGAGGCCGTCATCACAATCAAAACACTGGATGAATACTTCCTCACCGATCGGTTACCTGTTTGCCTAGCGGTCGTTTTCGCTTCCAGCGAACTCGAACTTGCGAAGCGTTTTGCGGACATACATACATACATAGCATACATACATACATATCTACAGCCATGCAAACATTACACAACCAACACACAAAGTTACTGGTTTATAGAATAGGAGGATATATTCTCAGCAATATTCGAAAGAGCTTCGGAAGCTCCGGGCGCCTCTCAGCGCTTTTGTTCTACTGTATTTGCATCTAGCGGTCCAACAACCCCCTTTGCAAACGTCATGCCGCGTCACAAGATGACTTCCGCCCTAAGGGCTGAAACTGCTATTCAATTCATTTATATCGAAGGCTGCTTCACTCACAAGCACTTGCTCTTGCGCTGATGACAAAAGGGCAAACCCCTCTCGGAAATAGGCGTATGTGCATAAGAAGTCCTTTTCAGTACTCCACATGACCTCGTATATTTACCTATTGGGTACACTAATCATTCGAGTTGGGGAGCTTCAAGTGAAATATCTTATTTCATCGAGTTGTCCTTCATCCCTGACGGTTTTAGGGACCATTCAATGTACGAAAAGGATTTAAACTATGCAACACTTCCGAAGTTTTGTAATAGAAGTTCTTTTGATGAACGACTCCTTCAGCCTACAGACAATCATAATCAATAATCAGTAGAAGTGTCCAGCTTTTGCGGCTTCTTGGTTTCACTGTTGTAGAAATACGGAAGCTGCATTGACAAGAGAATAGGAACTCATATTCCGATGGATTGAATTCAAATTCCTTGCTTCCTAATGGGGCTACTAGAAACTGAAGAGGGTATTAATCAGAGGCTACTAAGTTAGGTGATTGGGTTATATCCCGAATTCTTTTCAGAGCTCTGTTCGGTCGAAAACGAACAGAATAATCATTTCATCGCTGACATTCTAGTGTTCAATGTACAAGTACAAAGCCTATCTTATATTGGGAGTCACATCATACTGCTCTCGAAAAGTTGCCAATTTTTTTTGCAAAAAGGGCAACGCTTAGGTGTCTTGTGTTAATCTGTCGTACCATCATCCTATTTCGGAAAAACAATTGCTATAGGCATATCTTGCTGAAGTCATCTTACCCAACACCGGCGTCGATTTCATGATTTGCCTCGAGATCTATAAAAATTCGAAAGGATTTCAAGATCTATTCTTGTACGAAGCGTGTATGAGAGACTTGTTGGAGAGAGCTATCAGTTTCGACCGGATAAAAATTCCTGCCCAAGGTAAGAGAAGAAAAATAGTCTGATATGTGCAGAGGTCAGTGTGTGATTCTTATATGAATCACAAGCGCGTGGTAAGTCAAGGCAGCCATTCGAAATGAGATGTAGAGATGAATAGTCTTAGCGTAACCGTTTCCATTAAATAATGAAGCATGGTCTACAAGAAGTTCATACTCAACTTCAGTTCACTCATTTCAAAGGTATTTCACCTATTTGAACGAGATTGTTATCCCTCCTCTGTGCTCGTCAGTTAATTAGGAAATAATTCATTTTCACCTTTTCTTATGAATGAACTTGCTTGTGAATTTTTTACAATATGCATCCTGGGTAGATGTTTACATTCTTTCATAGCGCATGTGAAGCGTGCCTACAATTTCAAATTATTCAAAGGAATCATCTAAATAAAGGTCCCATCAAAGCTGCTGACTTCAGCAAGTGCATCGTAGTAATGTTCAGC